TCATCCCCCCTTGGTGATGCGGCGCTGGATTTAATAGGTTGACCACTTGTTCCCAAATCCAACGTCGCATTGCTAGGATGAAGTGGACCTTCAAGTGATGGGTTTGTAGATGGATGCGCAACTTTCGTGTCACCATCAAGATTCGGTTGGAGGAAAGGCTGTGCAATTTCCGCCGTGCTTACCCCCTCCAACACAGTTGCGTTGGTAAGATCCACCAGGCAAACCAGGTGAATTCCATGCGAGTATTCCACAACGAAGTCGGCCAATGCTTGGTCTTTGATGGCGGTTCAGGGTCGAAACTTGACGTCGAATTGCCCCAACTCGACTTCCCATTTCAGAATTCGGCCGGAGAAGTCCGCCCGCTCAAATAAGGCTTGCAAAGGGAACTCGGTTAGCACCATGATCGTGTGAGCATGGAAGTAGTGTGCCAATTTCCTAGAGGTCATCATTAGTGCCAAAACAGCGGAAAGTATCTCGATTCTACCGGGAGCAAGGTTTTGCTTAGGTAGAAGATTAGTAGATGTTGGGTGCCCTCTGTTCGGACAAGCATCGCACTAACAGCATGTTGAGAAGCAGCTAGATAAAGGTAGAGTTCTTCCCTGTGCTTCGGCCTGACCAAGAGTGGAGTGGAAGATAGATATGTCTTTAGCTCGGCCAAGCTCTGTCCCATTCTTTGTCCCATGAAAACTTGGACTTCAAGGCTCGGAAGAAAGGGTGGCAATGATTTGATGACCGGCTTATAAATCGGTTAAGCGCAGCTACCATCCTGACAAGATGTTGCACGTCCTTTGCCAAGTTGGGTCGCTTCAATTCCTGTATGGCTTTGATTTGGGAGGGGTCCACCTCGATGCCTCTGTTGGTGACCAGAAAGCCCAGGAATTTCCCTGACCCCACGCCGAAGGCACACTTGGACGCATTCTGACGCAGCCTGTGTTGTTTAAGAATAGCGAACATCTCTCCTAGGTCAGCCAAGTGGTCGGCCTCACATTCTCTTTTGACCACCATGTCGTCGATGTAAGCCTCTATCGCGCAGTCGAGCAGTGGGGTGAACATCTTGGTCACCATTCTCTGAAAGGTTGCCCCGGCATTTTTGAAGCCAAAAGGCATGACTCTGTAGCAGAACAATCCCCTCAGCATTGTAAAAGAGGTAATCTCCCGGTCAGGCTCATGCATGGCGATCTGGTGAGAACTGCGGTATGCATCCAAGAAACTGAGTCGATTGTGTCCGGCTGCAAGGTTCACCAATTGGTCGATTCTGGGCAAAGAAAAATTGTCTTTAAGGCAAGCTCGGTTGACCGTCTTGTAGTCAACGCAGACTCGCCATTTCCCATTCTTCTTTGGTACCACGACCGTGTTGGAAATCCACCAAGGGTAGTGCACTTTCTAGATAGCCCTCACTTCAAGCAAGTTTTTGACATCTTCTACCACTACCTCAGCATGATGAAGCGCTGATCTCCACATTCTTTGAATGACGGGCTGAGCATCTGCAAAGACGTTGAGTGGGTGGCAAATAAAGTTTGGATCGACGCCAGGCATGTCGTAAAGCGTCTACGCAAACACTTTGATATTTTCTACCAAGAACTCCAACATCTCCAGCCGTTCTTGGGCAGTCAGGCTGGATCCTAATAGAAAGAACTTCTCAGGATGATCCTTGTTGATCCATACCTCCATCAAGTCTTCAACGGCCTTTTCTTCGGCCCTGGAACCCACATCATCCAGAACACTTTGATCTTCTGGGCCTTTGATCATTTGCATGAATCCTTTGGCTACACGGCTTCCATTCACGACCATGAAACATTGCTTGGCCATGACTTGGTCGCCCCAAACCTCTTCAATCTTCCCTGTAGCAGAGGGGAATTGCATGACCTGGTGGAAGGTTGACGCCACTGCTTGCATGGTGTGAAGCCATCCTCTACCTAGGATCAGATTGTACATGGAGAGCACCTTTAACAACCAGAACTCCACCTGCTTCACTATGGACCTTGCTTTGATTGGAAAGATGATCTTTCCCTTGGGCCACTCTGGTTGTGAGTTAAAGCCAATCAATGGCGAAGTCGCTGGGGCCAAGTCTTTATCACTTAGCTTGAGTTGCTTGAAGGCGTCATAGTAAATTATCTCGACTGAGCTACCTTGGTTGATCAAAATACGCCTAACATCGAAGTCCCTGACGCGTAGGGTAACCACCAGGGCATCGTTATACGGCGTTTGAATCTGTTCAAGATCTCGGCTTGAAAAGCTGAGCACATCTTTTACCTCAATTTTGCCCTTTTTGATCGCGGGCTAGACAGACAGTACCTCCCTTATATGCTTTACTTTTTTGATCATCCCTCGGAGATTGCATACCCGTGCTGGCTCAATGATCCCATGGATCACATTGATCACGCCCTGAGGGGGTGCTTCAAGCGTAGCCAAACCATTTGGCTCTGCTAGGGCGTGCGGTGCAGCCTTGACACCTCCGTCAATGCAATGGTCCAAGTGACTAACAGCCACTAACTTCTCCAAATGTTGTTTCAAAGACAGACAGTCCTTGGTACGGTGCCCTCGCTCGCCATGAAAGGTGCAGCGATACTGCAGATTGAAGCCCCTCTGTGCGTCGCCCAGCTTAGCTGGAAACTGGACGTACACCTCATCGCGGATTTTGCTAAGGATGAGGTAAATTGGGATCTTGAAAACTATGGTGATGCTTGTTCGGGCATTCAACTTTCTATTCGTATCTGTTGCGGCATCGCGTGGGTAATTAGCTCGGTTGGTGCGGCGACCTTTACCCCAGTTGCCATGGTCTGCACCGTGGTCAGATTCTCTTACGCAGTCACTCGAACGGTTTGCCTCATGTCCGACTGAGTGAACTTTTCCAGCCACTCTTTTGTCCACTACCACAGGATTCACCTTCGCAGTGGTCACAGTAACATCATCCTCTACTCAGATGTGCTCGTTAATGCGTTGCATCAATAGCTCCATGGGTGCTGGTTGGTTCATTGTGAGCGAGTCCCTTAGTCTATGTCCAACTGGGAGACCGCGCTTGTAGTGGGTGATTGCCAGGTTGGTCGGGCAATCAAGGATTTCATTAAAGGTTTCCCAATACTTGCATTGTACGCTTTGAGGAAGTCTCCTGGTTCCATCTTGATGCTCAAAAGGTGGTCTACTTCCTTTTGCGTTTTGGTGTTGGTTTTGAATCGGGTCACGAAGGCTCCCGCCAGCTGCTGCCACCTTTTGATACTTTCCTCTGGCAGCCTCTCGAACTATTTCAGGCCCAACTCAGCCAAACTTGACAGGAAAATGAGGCACATGAGGGCATTGTTATGCCTATATCCGGCTATAACCTGTCGGAAGTGGCTTACGTGCATGTATGGATCGGTTTTTCCATCGTAGAGAGTAAACTTGGGTTGGTGAAAGCCCACATGGAGTTGTGTGGTCTTTATCTCGAGGGAGAAAGGGGTGGCGCTCAGTCTTGCCAAGTCTCTGTCCAAAGGGACATGCACAGCTGGATGTGATGGCGGTATTGCGACTTCTTCACTAGCGCATCCTCCTATGGGATAACCGCTGCAGCGCCGGCACCCTTTGCGCCTCCTGCTGACGTGCTCGTTCTTCCTATACGTCCCTTAAGTCCTCCGAACGGGTGGAGTACGAATATCTCAACGTCGTCGACGGATGTGAGGGACGGTAACTGCTGTCTTGAGTGCAAGACTTCTTTGTTGGCGGGTCAGAGTCACCAACTCCATAACTTCTGGTGATGGAGACGGATGGTGTTCACCTCTGGTTCTGGTTGCTTGAGCGATGAAGTTGGGTGCACTCACTGTGGTTATCCACTCCAGCAACACCCTTCCCCTTGACTTGCCGCTTTAATGCCTCCATCTCCGCCACCATCCTTTGTATGATGGCGTCTTGATCTCTCAGCTTATGCTCTAGGCACTGAGCGTTTGATTACCTTCACCACCGTTGTCTATCGGGGCTTCGCGAGTGATCAGTGCTCTTTACGCAATTGTCGCGCACATCTCTGAGGAGCCCCCTTGGAGAGGTCTCCAGACCAACCATGGTAGGGAAGGTAGGAGGACCATTTCTTCTCCGAACAGACTCTGGAGTGATGCCGTCGATGGCGGACAAAGGGACCTCGTCGTTGTTGTTTGTCATGAAAGATGATTGGAAGTTCTTAGAGGATAAGGTTTTGACTGTTCAATCTTCCCATAGACGGCACCAATTGTACGGGGGCCAGATATCCGACGTTGCCCGTACTCCTTGTGTCCAAGCTGTGCCTCACTCCGATCGACCTAAGAATGCAATGACATTTAGCTACCCGACAGTGTGCTGCCAGAAAACCCCTCCGACGGTCAAGTTAGCACACTTAGAGAGAGAGAGATAAGAGAGGAGACAAAGTAGTAGATAAGGGTGTTCCAGACCTAAGTATGGGGGTGCAGCACCGTTTATTTACCGTCAGCGCGCGCTTCCGCGTCCATTTCCCTTTGGACGTGTGGACCTGCTCTCCTCTCCCATTTCCTCACGTGTTAGTGCAAATATAGCTAAACACCACCTAACGAAACTGCCAAACTACTTCAACGCGCACGGACAATCCAATCCCCTTCTTTCAATCTCGTGGTGCCGCACAACACTCTTAACCGAGCTACACTTAACATGGAACCATGCCATCACATAATGACCGTGCTACTTGTCCAGTTTCTTTGATAACCCCACACCATGGCTGAACCGAGCTCCTTAGTCAAAACTGAGCATGAGCTCGGTCCAAGCCATTGGGCGGACTAATCTAGTCCGATTCTGAATAGTGCATATCTCCCCCGGACCGACAATCCACAATCGTCCTAACTCAACCGGACTAAGGCGTTGGTCAAGTGTACACTCAATATTTGACCGAGCTAAGGGCTTCGACACCGGTCTAAACCAACTCAACCCAATATTTGGTCGTAAAGCTCCCTCTTAAGATCAAACTCCTATAAGATTTTAATGATGGAGTCTATTCATCAATGTCAATGTCAACGGAGAACAGAACCATGGTAGATGAAGAAATTACAGCGGGCTTTGATGATGAGGTGTTGACTATAAAAAAGCTACTTGTTAGAGGGAAGAAGCAGCAACAAATTTTATCAATTGTTGGGATGCTTGGACTTGGTAAGACAACTTTAGCCAGAAAACTGTACAATGATCCTTACATCACACACTACATTCATATTCGTGGATGGACCAATGCTTCTCAATTACCCAGAAAAATAGATATGTTGTTGCACATTTTACGTTCTGTTAATGTCGACGAAATTGAAAACATGTGCAATGAAAAGCTAGGCAAAAAGTTGTACAAGCAATTAAAAGGCAAGAGATATCTCATTGTCATTGATGATTTATGGGATATTGGTGCCTGGGTCGATCTTAAAATGTATTTCCCCAATGACAACAATGGAAGTAGAGTTATGTTCACTAGTCGGCTCAAAGAAGTGGCTATGCATGCCTCACCTGATTGCCATTCTCATTGTCTACGTTTTCTCACTGAAGAAGAGAGTTGGGAGTTATTACAACGGAAGGTGTTTCATAATGAAAGTTGCCCTCCAAAACTGATTGAAATTGGGAAGCAAATAATGAAAAAATGTGAAGGGCTTCCACTTGCAATTGCTATAATAGCAGGACTTCTTGCAAAGAACATCAAGACACAAGAGTCATGGAAACAAGTAGCCCAAAGTGTAAGCTCATACATTGTTAGTGCTCCAAACCAGTACTTGGACACACTAGCACTGAGTTACAATCACTTGCCTCGCCACTTGAAACCATGTTTTCTCTATTTAGGAGCATTTCCAGAAGACCAAGCAATCCCGGTGCAGAAGTTAATTTGTTTGTTGGTAACTGAGGGGTTTATACGGAAAATTGAGCAGAGAAGCTTGGAGGAAGTAGTAGAGGATTACTTAATGGATCTAATTTAGGGAGGTCTGGTAATTGTTGCTCAAAAAAGGTTTGATGGTCGAATTAAAGCATGTCGCATGCATGATTTGTTGCGTGATTTATGCTTGAAAAAAGCCAGGGAAATTAATTTCCTACAGTGGACTCACAATTATAAAGACTCTTCCCCTTCTTCTTCAAGTAATTATGAAACAAATAACCAACGCCGCTTGTGCATCCTTTCATACTTGGAACCAAGATTTGGTCATATTCCCTTACAGTCTTATTCCCCAATAGTTGTTCAATCATTATTGTGCTTCAGTAATGAGTTTGAGAAAAAAATTAGTTACGATGACAATCTGTTTGGTGATACGTGCTCGTTTATTTGTTGGACCTTCATACTTCTTTGTGTGTTGGAAATATGCTATTATAATCCCTTCTTTCCAAGAGAATTAACACAACTTGTTAATTTGAGGTATTTGGCAATTAATTTGAAAGATTGCTGTGAATTACCACCAGCAATATCCAACCTCTTTAAGCTAGAAACACTTATTCTTATACGACGGAGTGAGGTTATTCTGCCATGTAATGTTTGGAAGATTCCAAAGTTGAGGCATCTTTGTGCCAAAGGAGGAGCAAAATATTACGTGGATTGTAACCTTCCCTCTATATTAGACAACCTACAAACCATCACAACATTAAACCCTTATAGATCTATTCAGAATTTATTGGCAACATTAAACCCTAATGGATCTATTCAGAATTTATTGGCAAGAACTCCTTTACCTACAAAACTCGGAATTTGTGGACAACTGTTTTCAAATTCGGAGAATATTATCATGTTTCCTAATCTAGAATGTTTAAGACACCTTGAGACTTTGAAGAGACAACATAAGTTCTCGTTCCCATCCAATTTCTGAGAGGTTAAATTTCCTACAAATGTTAAAAGGCTAACCTTGAAATATACAGGGATAGAGTGGGAGGATATATCAATCTTGAGATGTTACCCAACCTTGAGCTTCACAAATTAGAACATGATGCTGTGTTGGGATGGCAATAGGCAACAACTGATGGTGGGTTTCCTTGACTCAAATTCTTGAGACTGAGGTGCCTGAATGGCGAACAATGGATCAATTGCTATAGTCACTTTCCAAGCCTTCAACACTTATCCTTGGAAGGTTGTCGAAATCTCAAGGAAATACCATCTAGTTTGGGGGATATACTCACTCTGCATCTAATTGAGGTAACCGCTTGTCATTACTCTGTTGGTAAATCTATAAAAAAAATTAAGAAAGGGCAAGAGAGCATTGGAAATAATTGGTCAAAAGTGCTGATTATGAAATATTTGTGGTATATTTTCAAAAAAGCGTAATGATACCAACTTCTAAAGGTATGTTCTTTTTTATATTTATGTTTAATTTTTTCTTTCTCATTTTGGATTTGACCCTACATAAAATAAAAGTAATCTACCTTGTGTATATATAAACTAACCTAAAACTCATGCTATGCACGATCTTAAATAGACAATTAAAATTTTATCTTAAAAATTAAGGTAATAATTTTAAAATTTAAAAGGAAAAAATAGTAAAAATTATGTGAATGAGTTGTTTTCATTTAAATTGCACTAAAGTAGTGTTTTAATTGTGTTGTTATGAATATTTTATTTTAGGTATTAACTAATATATATATATGTCATTACGTGGATTCGTAACATTTTAGAGCAAAAACATTCAATGAATTATAAAAATTCCATTTAGCATACAAGATAAATAATATATACTTTTATATTAGATTTTCTCAAATGACATAACAATTAAATTTTTTAATTTACAATTACATAATAAAATTTATTTGAAATTTGTTAAAATCGAAAATAAGTTGGAGAATGAATTTTTTTTTTTTATTTATTTTTTATTGAAAGAGTAATGTGGAGAAGTGGTTTGGAAATACTCTTCTGATCCTGGGGGATGCTAGTGATCCTCTTCTAGTCACCTGAAAAGAAATAAACACTTCGGTCGGAGGTGCCGGAATTAGCACTCCGACGGGCAAGTCAGTCTTTACACTCAAGTTTACTTATATTCTCAGTTAAGTACAATAGTTCTCACATACCTTTCTTTGATGGGTGATCCCGTATTTATAGTATTTTCTTTGGACCTTTGGGCTGGGCCCATCCTTGTTCCATCACATGTACCTCTACTCGGCGTCTGTTCTATTAGCTGGGATACTGATTATTTTATTTGGCTCCTTGATTGGCTGGGGTATATGTCGAATAGAGGTTACGTTTCAGACCGGACACGCTTATCTGTCCCTATGGATCTAATAATTTTCGGCTCCCACAATTGCCCTCCGAACAGCCTACTAGCATCAGTTAGTTGGCGTGTTTGGCTTTTAGCCTAGGAAATCGAAAATTTGGTGGTTAACCCTCTTCCCAATGCGTGTCAGAATGCACACACGCTTCTTAGTCATTGTAACGCTTTCCTGCCCCTTCGTACATTGCTTCCATTTAATATGATTTGAAATTGCCTCTTCGAGTTTATGTCCTGAATGTTCAAAAGATATCTTCCTCGCCCTCTAATGCTACTCTATCTCTTCGTGGCTTCTACAACTCCTTGTTTCTCGCTTCTCCCTTTATCTCCTGTAAGTCTTCTTCTCCTTCATTTTTTATCCCGCTTCCTTATTTGCTTTTAACTTTCCGTAATCCTTGGGTTTGGCTTAAAAAGAATGGCAAAACATCTGAATGATCTCCTTTCAACAGATCGAATCTCTGGCATTCGACGTCATTTCTCCATCCCTGATGACATCCATCTGTCACTTTTGGCAGACATCATCACCGAGATGTAGAGGGAAGATGAGAGCACAATCGTCTTTCCTCTCCTATCAATTACTGAGGGCGGAGTCTACTTTCCTCTTCACCCGCTTTTGAGGGCCGTTCTTTGATACTAGGGTCTGATCCCTTCCCAGCCCAACGTCAATTCATAATGGGGATCGTAGAACTAAATCGTTGTCTTAGGACCAATTTAGGTATTCCTGCCATTCGGCACTGTTACACCCTAGCCATGTCGACTGGCCGGCTAGGGCGCTACTTTCTTAGAGCTAAGGATACTGATCATCACTTAGTGACTATGCTCGCCAGCTCTGGCAAGCGTGTTGATGACGTGATGGTCATTGTCTATGGCAACTGGGAGTTCGGCGAAGGCGAAGATCGCCTAGACCCGGTGCCGAGGAAAAAAGGCGCACCCGGTGGCCGATTTGATCACTTTGCTTTTCGTATTTGTATGTATATGTATTCGGCACTATGTTCATCTTATCATTTTGTTTGTGCAGGCATCGATTTGAAGAGAGTGTTGGTTTCAGACGCTGGCGTCGTGCTCACAGAAATCAATACCGCACTACTGTTCGTCGGCTGTCCAAACCTTCAGAAACAAGGGAGGGAAGCCCACATTCTCCTGCGATACGAGCCGACTTTCACAACGTTCTCAGTAGCAGACAACATTCCGATCATGCGAGGCGACAATCAACTTGCTGCCCTCATCTTCCCTAGCTTCAAAAACTTGAGGCAGATCGGTTTAGAGTCATCTGATTCTGAACACGCGGAAGAACAGGTAGCCAAACCAATCGTCGAGGATTCTGACTGGTTCACTGCGGAAGTTGACGAAGCGATTAATTCAGCCTTTGAGGAAACCGGATTGAACTCTTCTGACCCTCTGTCTACATCAGGCTGAGGGGACGCCTTCGAAGATATTTTTTTGAACTTGAGAGACCTTCCAGGCGATTACTCTGAAGATATGGTTGGGGAAAATCTTACGCAGATGGCATGGAAGAGGAACGCCGAACGCATGGCCGCCTGAAAAAAGGCCGAGGCCATCCGTTCTAGACTTGTCCCGACTGAATCTGTTCAACCTACTGTTCTGCAACTTGCTGTTGTAGAGGAATCGGCTCAGGTTGTCGTCGCCAAGATGGAAAAGGATGTCGAACGCCTGGTTATAGAAAAGCGGACGATTTCAAAGGAACGAGGCGAAAAAAGAAGCGCTGAGGACAAGGACGACTCCGAAGAGGGCCTTGTTGATAAGCGGCCACGCTTAGAGGAGGCGGCTGTGATTGCTACTTTCATCATTGAACCAAAGATAAAAAACATGCCGATCTCCTCTGAAGCGTCGGCTTTGAAAGATCCAGCTGTGGCATTGAGCTTAGCCACCGCGATCTCCTTGTCAGCTGACAAGGCGACCTTTTGTGCTGAGCTGGACTCGGCAATGGTAGTATTAGCTGCTCAGTCGGCCCTTCTAGTACGTGTTTATCCTTGGAATGTGACGTTCTTTTGGTTTGCATTCAATGTTTCTTGGAATGTGACGATCCTTTGTTTTGCAGACAGTTGGAAGGATCGCCGAATTAGGCCGACGCCATCGTGACGCTATCGAAAGGGTAGGCCGTTTGCAATCGAAAGTCGATGGCCAAAGGAGTAGGACGGAGTTTGACGCAATGAGAGCCGCAATGGAAAGTGCACGGGCGGAGGTTGAGAAGAAAAGGGCCAGGATTGCTGATCAACTCAGGTCTGACGCCGAGGAGAGGGCAAACGCAAGCAAGGAATCGCTGAAGTTAGCCAATGAGGCGCTTGCGAAACTGGAGGTCGAGTTGGAAGGGTTGAAGCAGGCCAAGGAAAAAGCCGAATCTGAGGCTTCCGCGGCGTTCAAGGCTGGGAAGAGCGCCGCCTTTAATGACTACGTAGAAAAAGTCCCCAAATTTGAGAATCGGGGATTCAGACACGGCTGGCTCAAAGCCCTTGCTACCGCTGGAGTTACATTGGCCATGCCAATTCCATACGAGCAAGTGGATGTTGAGCCGCTTGAGTATGATCTTGAGACTTGATTTGGGTGATATTCTAATTTTGTTAGGCTTTACTCAATTTCAATGTATGTTTTTTGTTAGTTGACTTTCATTTTTTTTGGATTTTCATATGTGAAATGTCCGCTGCTAGCGCCCAATTTATGAATGAAAATTTTATATGCTCTCAAATTATTTCTTGTATTGTTTGCTGTATGAGTATATA